CACCCGCTCCCTGCTTTAGTAGATAGACAATATGTTTTGCCATGTTTGCCAAAATGTAAGGGTCCTCATCAGACCAAGTTCTGTTCATGTTCAAAGATAGTAACCCATGATCGAATTTAACACTTCCCTACCTATTTGGGTTCGTATCAAACCATCGACACTTAAACATGATCACTTGGTATCGGTCTTTGTAAAGCAATTGCACGACAGTTGTGAGTTTGCCATAGAAATCAATGTCCGTACTTTCGCCTCCACCTGGAACATGGACACTGCTATTTTGCGTACACAACTTGTCATCTCGTGCAGTACCCAAAAACTTGACGCCGTTAACATGGCAACCCGAGAACAATTCAGCCTGAAGTGGGCCGAATGCCAAGTTATATAACTCTTCACTATAAGTGGGGGAATTCTCTGATTTCAACTTATTCACCTAATATTATACAAAAACATTCACATGTTAGGTTATAAAAATTAAATACTACAATATATATGTCAATTACAAAACACTTATAACTTACATATTCCAAAAACCATTTTGGAAACAATTCACGATGTTTCTTGGAATACAAATGTGATGGATGTTCTCGCTTCATCATCTCTTCATACTCATCTAAGTATGCAATTATCTGATCACAATTGTTCAATACGAACCAATGAGCTACCTCCATGTCATTTCTGGAAAACGACTCTCCTCGTACAGGATCTCCAAAGGGTCATGCGCTTTGGGCAAAAACAGAAAGTTGCTCATTTCTCACACCTCCGTCATTATTGCGCTGAGGTTGATTGAAAGCCGTGTCCACATCTTTTAAATACATTCCACAGAAAGTAAGCGCCTCATATTGAACCCAAGCCTCTACAATTGATCCTTCGGGGCTTCGCTCTGTTGCGTACGCTTTTTTTCAGCTCTCCGAGAAGCCTGCCAAATGAAAACGAAAAGATACAAATTAGCAAGTAGCAAGCATGGGATAAAGATGCATACATAAATGATGAGGATTATATACCTTTCTATTGGATACATCCAGCGATAGTTGACTGGACCAGCAAGCAATGCCTCTTCTGGCAAGTGAACCATCACGTGAATTATACTTGTGAAGAAAGCTGGAGGGAATATCATCTCAAACTTGCATACGACTTGGACAATGTAATGGTGCAACTGATCAATGTCTGTCTTTCACAACGTTTTTGCCGTCAGTTGGGAAAAAAATCTGGACAACAATATGATTGACTTGACTACATCTTCCGGCAATAGGTGTCGAATCCTCACAGGAAGTAGGCGTTGCATAAACACATGGCAGTCATGGCTCTTGAGTCCAGTAAATTTACCCCCGTCAACATTCATGCAACGTGCGATATTAGAAGCATACCCGTCAGGAAACTTTACAGACGATACAAACTGTAGAAACTCTTTTTTGTCATTCGGTTTCATGGGAAAAAATGCAAGATCCCTTATAGCTTTACCACTGCCCCTTTTCAGCCATAAACCCCTTCGTATGCCCATTCTTTCCAAATCAAGACGAGCTTTTATCGTGTCCTTTGTTTTGTCCTTGATATCTAGAATTGTTCTCATCAATGTATCAAACACATTTTTCTCAACATGCATAACGTCGAGATTGTGCCTCAATTTTAGTTTCGACCAATATGGGAACTCAAAAAACATAGACTTGTGCATCTAGTTCATATGTGTAGCAGGTCTGGTCCGACTAACTGTTTTCCCGAACGGAGCAAAATCCAAACGGTTAAGCTATTCCAAGATTTGATCACCGGACGATTCTCTAGGTCTTGCGCAACACTCTTTGTTCCCGTCGAACTCTTTATCCTTTTCCCGCCACTCGTGGTCCCCTGGCAACCATCTTCGATGCCCAAGGTAACACACTTTTCTAGTGTGTGAACCAGAAGTTACATCTTCCTTGCATACAGGGCATGCCATATAACCCTTTGTGCTCCACCCCGACACCATTGCATATGCGGGAAAATCATTCACAGTCCACATAACTGCCGCCCGCAAAGTGAACATCTTCGAGCTCATCAACCAACGGCCTTAAGTACACATCGATTGACCTGCCAGGATCCTTAGTTATCAAAACAGTCATCATCATGTACTCTTTTTTCATGCATTTCCAAGGCGGCAAATTATATGGGAATACGAAAATCGGCCAAGTGCTGTGGTGTTGGTTTAGAACCCCGTACGGATTGAATCCATCAGTGGCAAGTCCCAACCTAACATTTCGGGGATCAGCAGCAAACTCGGGGAACGTTCGATCAAACTTTTTCCATGCCTCCCCATCTGCAGGATGCCGCATCACATCGTCGTCTACCCATTTTTCCTTATGCCATCTCATGTCTGTGGCAGTATGCGTCGACATATACAATCGCTGCAATCTTGGTTTCAGGGGCAGATAACATATGACTTTTTGTGGAACCTTCGTCATTCTATTCTGAGACGTCTGTTTGAATCTCGACTCATTGCATATAGGGCATGTATCCAATGTTTCATACTCTTTGTAGAATAACATGCAATTGCTTTTGCAAGCGTGGATTTTTTCATAACCCAATCCAAGACCACTCAACCTCTTCTGCGCCTGTCTGTGATCTTTCGGCAAACAATTGTCCGTCAGAAGCATTTTCTTGAAAACCCCCAAAAAGTAATCGAAACACAGGTTTGACATACGGAAAAGCTCTCACACCCTGGATATAACTCTTGGTTGGCATTTCTTAACAGTTCTTCATACTGTTCAAACTCTGCACTATCCATTGGTGTAGGCACGTCATCTTTCCCTTCCTGATTGCTGATGGTCGATGCAAATGGAAAAGCATCATTTATAATATCCATTACTTGTTCATTAGGATCCACAATAGGTTCAACATTGTCCACTTTTGTGGCCCTTGAAGACGAAGCAATGTCTAATTGTTCCCCGTGATGGTTCCAAGTGTTGTATGTCTCAATCATTCCATTCCTTATTAAATGAAATTGAACATATTCAATTGTATCCCACAACATGTTGTTACACCTCCTGCAAGGACACCAGATTCTAGTTGCACCTGGGTTGTGTGTCCGTGCAAAGTCAATAAAATCCTCAATTCCATCCAAGTATTCGTCTGCGCACCTATTCGGGTTTTGTATCTACCTCCTGCTCATCATTTCTGGAACCACAATCACAATACAACAATCATGTTGTATTCGTACAAAATCTTTCCTTATGCCTCCGGTAAGGGCCCTATCCCATTCGGAAATGCATAGTCATGTCACATAATTTACAGCTACATGAGATTAGATTTCAACGTTGATGAATTTTGGCAGCATCTCGGTACAGTTCTTGAGGTGTACCGTAGATATAAAATACCTACGTACCACCCGAAGAACGTACTGAGATTACACCGAAATCTCCACAATCGAAACCTAATCCTGTAGCTGTAAACTACGTGACACGACTATGCATTTCCAAACTGTCCAAAATATGGGACAATTCAAGAATTAATTGGACTGCAGTCATGCTTTATGCATCCATGCGCGACATCCAACTAACCTCGAACGGGAACTAAGCTTTACAAAAAAAAAATGTACGAAGTTAATTTCAATGAACTTCGTACATCAACGTGCATAATTTAACAACATAATAAAAATATAATGGCACAAAGACATATTCCGTCGCGTAAAATCCAATTTAACGACGCGCAAAGACGTGCCGACATCATATCTTTGCGCGACGAACAGCTTATATCCGTACTGCAAAATACCTTAGTCGCGCGAAAGACCTATTCTGTCACCCAAAATCCAATTTAACGACGCGCAAAGACATGCCGACATCACGTCTTTGCTCGACGAAGGTCCTATATCCGTACCGCAAAGTTTAGTTGCGCAAATCCCTTCTTTGACACGCATGCAGCGCCGACATCCACCTTACGCGACGACTAAGCCGTTTCGTCGCGCAATCAAATTGGCGTGAAGAAGCTGAACAACTGTTTGTTTTCCCGCTGTTTTTTAGCGCGACAGGTACGTTTTTGGTCGCGCTAAATATATTTGCGCTACGAATATAAGCGTTGCGCAAGTTTTGCCTCCAAATGCGACTTTCCCGGGGTTTTTTTCCTTTGTTTGCGCGACGGTGGGAGTATTTGTCGCGCAAAGTGTACTGGCGCGACATATATTTTTGTCGCGATCTTTACAAAATATAAAATTTTTATCCTTTGAAGTTTGGGCGACGCATACATTTTTTCGTCACGCAAAACATCTTATTGCAACGAATATGTATGCGTCGCGCAAACTGTCGTCGCGCAAACTAAAAAATGTAGTAGTGTCTTGGCTATTTCTTGTGGAAGAAATACTTGGGAATGGAAGGTATAGTGCTACCACCCTTGTCTTTCTCTTTCAGGAGAAAAATCCTGGAAAACAAAAACAAACAGAGATAGAAGAAAACAGAATATCAGCCATCATCAAAATCCAAAGCAAAAATCAGAGTCAAACTTCGACCAACAGATCAAAAGTTGGGAAGGGAAAAAACATTCATGAATTAAACTATTATTTCTTAATTACATCTATAGCCTAATGAAGCAAAATGGACACACACCAACAATAGCACAACTACAGAAATAAGAATTTTCAAACAACACAATATCCAAAAACTAATTAAACAGAGCTTCTATAGCCTAACCAAGCAAAACAGATGTAATCAATAACATTAAATGATTGTGTGACTCCATGACACCACAAACAAAAATTAGTGCAACCCCAACTCCTCTTACACCTCCAAACCTCAGACAAAGAAGCTCTCTACATGGTCAAATTTTATCTCCATTGAAATGTGTTTTGTTTTTTGCCAATTTGTTCCAGATAATAGAGGTAGTGTTCAAACTTAGAAAGAGAGAAGAATTAAATTTCAGATATTGGAGGTAGTGTTCAAACTTTGAACATCTCTAACATGACACCACCAAATCAGTAAATATTACACAAAATTAGTATAAAAAAGCATGAACAGAAAAACAAAAAATAAAATAAGAAACAAATATTAACAACAATAGATCATTACACAATTTGTGTAATTAGTGCCACATGCGCTACATTCAACAGATGCCACACCAGATTCAACAGATCCAAGAGATGCATAAACACCAAAACATATTCAACAGATCCCACACTTAGCAAAACAGATTCAACACATGCCACTCATACATTACAATCCTTTTTCAGTTAAACACATATATAGGGGCAGATCTGTTTGATTGTGCATAATATAGAGGCGAAGACCAATTTGTGGGTGAAAATATCTGCTGGTCCAGCCTGCAAGTCAAACAGAGAATGGAAAATCATTTCCTGTTATAAAATTAGGGATACTATACAATATAGAGGGAATACCAAAGAGGTTTGATAGACTGTAAAATTAGGGTTTATACAATATAGAGGTTGGAGTTGTAAACATCTAAACCTATCATCACACCAACAAATTAACGACCCATTACAGCAGAAAACCTGAAGAGAAACGATGGAAGAAGTGGCAGATCGAAAATCTCTCAGAAGAATGTTGGACAGAAGATTGAAGACGGCTGAACCAACGAATGAGCAGATGAGATGAGAATGAGGAGATTAGATGAGATGAAGACCAAACGAACGGCGAGATTCGCAAGGCGCTAGCCCAGATGGAAATCGATGGCCCGAAACGAATCCCGAAGACCAAAGCCGTGCATTCCATGGCTACCCCCCAACCAGCCGAACAAAGTGGTTCGAAGCGGAGGATGTTCTGTGAGAGAGATGAAGTGGTTAGCATCGAAAGAGAGAGGGGCAAAAAGGGAACAAAAAGGAAATTTTTTATAAAGGGCAAAATCGACAATCCACTATTCCTAAGCTACAGTCTATGAACAGTCTAGGAACAGTGAGGCTTTTGGATTCGTTTTAGTATACATATAATATATATACTTGGTACCAGAGGCGGACCTACTAAGGCGCAAGGAGGTGCAGCTGAACCTCCCCTCGCCGGAAAAACCATTGTAGGTGCTTGAAGTAAATGTCTTTGTCCTTTTACTTTTATTTATTTTTATATTACTCCATTTACTTAAGTTTACAATGTAAATAAGGAAGTACCCCCCATTTGGATTCAAATAAAAATACTAGAAAATCAAATTCCCACCAAATCAAAATATGAAAATTCGGTTTTAGTGCAAAATACGATTTAGGCTAAAAATGATGGCTCATTAAGTCAATATATACTTCATACTAAGATCCCAAAAAATCAAGTTTTCTTATTTGATGTGTAAGGAACAAAAGCCGCCAAAAATTATCTTGAGAAAATGATTATTCCGAAAAATCATTTTTCATACTTAGTCAATATTGCACCTCCGCTAAAAAATTTCTGGGTCCACCAGTGCTTGGTACAATGGCATGGTGGAGGGATTTTAGGCATGGTTTTTAAGTTATCCGTGCCTTTAGTGAAGATGGTGGAGGGCTTTTAGGCACGGTTGTTAGTTATTTGTGCCTTATTTGTTAACTTATTCAAATAATTAGTCACAAAATTTATTAATCCGTCCCTAATAGTATTTTATAGAGACTGTTTCTATTATCAGTCCCTAATAACATCCAATAGAGACTGTTTCTAATAGTATTTTCTAGAGACTGTTTCTATTATCAGTCCCTAATAACATCCAATAGAGACTGTTTTTATTTGTGTCTCTAATAAAGGGGTCCCTATTGAGCATTTTTCTAGTAGTGAAGGCTAGTGATACGTCATAAACTGCAAAAGGGTCTCTTATTACGCCTCCATGGAGACTCTTGTTTCTCTCAGCCCAAATCATCCAAGCTATCACCACGAATAAACATAAATCATCCTCCTGGAAAGTATTACGAACATGGTATGAGTTTTGGTTAATTGGTATGAGTTTTGTCTCTCAATTAGTTAATTGTTTTCTGTTTTGAAGAAGTGGCATGAGTTTGTGTCTATGTTAACTGGTGTCTTGGTAATATGTTCTTTATTTATTTTTATTTTTTGTTCTGATTGGTTAGTATATGAATGTTTCATTTCTTTTATTTTTACTTTTAACATAGAATATGAAAACCCGTTGTGGTCGTATTATTGTTTGTTCCATGAATCAGGATTTATGAATATGATAATAGTATCATCCCATTTTTACTGGGTTTTTTTTAAAAAAAAGTTCGAGAACTTTTACACGTCAATCATATCTCTAGAAAAATTATTGGATCCGCCATTGTCTACACCTTCCTTATCACTCTTGTGTTTTTTTTTTATATATAATTTTTTTTTTATCCTAGCTAATATAGAAGGTTAAGACTTGAGAATGATCATGATCATTTACTTTGCTAATTCCAAATATTCCAAGCTTCCAGCTACAAATCAAGTAAGTAACTAGAGAGAGAAGAGGAAGATTTGTCCAGTTCCTACTAGAATTGCTGTCCAAGACACTGAACAAATATTTGTTTTAATATAACACGGTTCTTTTTTTGAGATATTTAGTCATATACCCATTATTAGCACTAAAACTATAAATAAACCATACACCATTTAATTTCTATAAACAAACCCAAAAAACACCCAAAAGATGACAGCTGGCCTTATTGAATTTAATTTTGATTATTAAATTACTTTAATGCCCTATTGAGTGTTTTGTGCTTTTTTTATGAGGTTTTGGGGTTGGGTTTGTTTTAAGAAATCAATGTTAGTTTTGTAATTTAAAAGAAGTTAAAAGCCTTTTTGTTATGTTGTAAATGGGTTTTGGGTGTGATTCTAAAATCCATTTCATATAGGGTTTTTTTATAATTTGGACTCCTATATTGGGTATAATAGTGAATCTCTCTAAAAAAATTTTCCCTAGCTCCTAGTTATAGATGACAAAAAACTCAAATTTTGTTTCCTAGTGTTCCAAGTCCTTTCTCCATATAGACTAAGACTGATGGGGATGAGCCTTACAGAACTCAACTCATTGATCTTCGTGATGCAACCTAAAGATAATGGAAGGAGCAATGAATTTTTCAAGTCACAATAAATAATAAGATACTGTTCTAAAACCAAAAGAAAATTTACCTCAGATGCTTTCAAATAATGGTGATGAATTTCTTCTTTTGAATGCTTTTGCGGTGCTGATTTCAACTTTGGCGATCAAAGATACAATGGTGAAAGGTGCATGCGAAGAAACTTTCTTTGAACACAGCACAACCAACAATAAGATCAAATAACTTTGAACCTTCTCCTTTTCTTTTATTTTTATCCAAACTAATTATTATGGGCAAAAATATAACGAGTACATGTACAGATGCAGCAACTGCACCGCCTATAGCAAAGAGGTTTGCAGAAATGTTAGCATCCCATACCCTTTCGGGATTGGTTCTAATATCAATTGTTACTTACGATTGGTTCGAAATAGAGTGCAGACAGGACAACAACTATACCCGCAGCAGGCCTTTCTTGAAGCGCCTTAAACTGGAGGTGCTGAGTGTTTCTTTTCACAAAGGCAAGCAATTAGTGGAGGTTGGAAACCCTGTTACATTCTTCAGCTGTGAGGGAAAGGCCCCATATTTAGAGGGAACCCCTTTCGTGTACTCTGCAAGAAGAAACACATTCACTGCAGCGAGTTGCGGCCTTCTTGCCACTGTGAGATCAGTTGAGATCGAAGATGGTAATTCCACTTCTGATGATGATGATAATTCCACTTCTCCGTCATACTGACTGATGGAAGAATATATTGTTGCTGTAAAAAAGTCTAAAATTGTGGATGAAAGTCAGCTTTCAGATTTCATCAATGAGGTGGTGATTCTTTCACAAATCAACCACAGGAATGTGGTTCAACTACTGGGTTGCTGTTTAGAGACCAAAGTTCCCGTTTTGGTTTATGAATTTATACAAAATGGAACACTTTCACAATATATACATGAGCAGAATGAAGAGTTTCCACTTACATGGGAAATTCGCTTACGCATTGCCATGGAGAGATTTCAGGAGCCCTTTCCTATTTACATGCATCAGCTTCCTCTCCTATTTACCACAGAGACATCAAGTCTGTGGGAACCGAATTAAAATCATCATCCTAGGTCAAATAAATCCTTTCATTTGGGGATTATTTAACCTAATTGGGAATTACTCAACCTAATTGGGAGTTACCTAATTAAATTAGGAATTGATTTGATACCTACCACAATTAGGGATTTGATTTACCCTAATAAATCAAATCCCCAATTAATCAAATCAATTCCAAATCAGGGGAGGAATAATTCCTTTCCATCTACAGAATTATTCCTCTCCCCCTCTCTTGCAAAAGGCTCCAGTCGCTCGGTTTACACCATAAACACATATATCTCCGTACCCTAGTTAGCTAGTGTTTTTCTTACAAACTCTTGAACTAATTTAGGCATCGGAGGGCCTTTGGCCAACACCCCCCGGGTCCCGGGTGTGGCCTTCTCATTTGTTCTATTTTGCAGGGAGAAAGAGGCGGCGAAGAAGAAAGAGGAATCTTTCCAATCGAATATTCTCGTGGGGAAATTTGCTCCCACAAAGTCCACCAACATACTCTTGGATGAAAAATACAGAGTAAACGTTGCTGACTTTGGGACTTCAAGATCAGTTGCCATTGACCAAACTCACTTGACGACAGGGCAAAAACCAATCAAGCCAATTTACAGATAAAAGTGATGTTTATAGGCTATAGCTTCGGAGTGGTCCTTGTTGCGCTTTTAACAGGGCAAAAACCAATTTCTTTTAACAGGTCAAGAAGAGGGCAAAAGTCTTGCCACATATATACTTCCTTATTTCGATGCAGTTAGATCGTTTGTTTGAAATTCTTGATACTCAAGTTGTGAAGGGAGGGTCCAAGGCAGATATCATAATATTAATAGTTGCTAACCTTGCAAGACGGTGTTTGAATTTGAGTGGAAGGAAACGCCCTACAATGAGAGAGGTCACTGCAGAGCTTTCAAATGACAGAAAGAACTTCTAATGGTGAATAAAACCATGAAGAGGTTGAATATATGTTAGGACTGAACCAATTGAGCCTTGGGATGTTGTTTCAAGTTCAACGGGAACAGAACCAATTTTGTCTTCATCATTGCATGAAATTCCACTTTTATCTTTCACGTCATGGTGAATTTGTGAACAAAATATTTCTTAATTGTAATGCATGGTCCATGTACGTACTTTTAGTTTTTCTCTCAATAATAATACAAACAGCCCATGAGGTTTAGCACGTCTTCACATTATCCCCTTTCTTCAAATCACAGTGAACATATATTTCTTCACACATTAAATACCTGTCTCCCAGTAAAGTTATTTACACTAACACCTTCCTTCAAGTTTTTGATGTTTTCACAAAACCTCCTCAGGTTTCAAAAAATACACGAACACCCCCTAAGGTTTCGGTTTGTTTTCACAAAATTTCTTTTCATTGATTGTTTGTCCAAAAATTGATGATTTCATTGAAAAGAAACTTACGCAAATACAAAATTAACCTCAATTAATGTATATGCAATCTAATTTCAAAGACCAACTTTGTTATTTGAAGAATTTTTTTAAAAAACTATAGCTGGATCAGGAGAAACACGTTACCAAAAGAAAAGTACCGTTCAAGCCATCTCCAGCCATGGGCTATATCCCAAATATAGCCCTAAAATAATACAAAACTCATCTCCAGTCATGGACTAAACAAAATTTTGGCCAAATTTGGAGGGCCACATTTGGCCCTTTGGCCCTTTAGCCCTCCAACCAGGTCACATGTAGCCCAGCTTTAGTAATAGGCCAAATTTGT